ATACCCCCAGCTCTTGTATCTACTCAAGCAAAAAATATAGAAGATATTTTGGTTCCAGTTTGATGTCCAAAAATCCATATCAGCGAATAAATTGACATGGAAACCAAAATATTTTAAACTTTTATACAAGCAACACTATTTGGCAGCAAAGGCATGTGACGGAGCAATTACCAAAGCAAGCTGTGATATTGAGTCCGCGCCAAAAGAAAACTTCCATAACAACATTTCTTTGCTTTTCTCAAGAATGTGGACGTTTTGGCATAATTTGCAAGTGTATAGAAGCACCAGGTTTTGTTAGAAAAAAACCAACAAAAAAACATGATCGGATTTTCTAACCAAAGCAGTAGGTGAAGTCCACAAATCAATACAGTCTGGTTGTGTTTTCGCCCACAGAGATGATGATTGACCAGCGAACAGTAATTACTTTTTTATGTGATTGCTGCGGAAGTAGTTTAGATTATAAAGTTTTCCCATTATTGACTAGTTGAAATTAATGCTTGAATTATTGGACCCCCTGGCATTGGTCTTTATTGATATTGATATTTGATTGAATACTTTAATTTGAGCCAAACAAAACAAAATGATAACATTATGCACGATACAGAAATCACTGTACCCACACATGTAATGTAATGTTTATGTATATAGCGCATTTTACAGACCAAGGTCACCCAAAGCACTGTACAATGTTCAGAGTTCAGATATTGTTCCAATTATTCCATACACGGTGATGACGGAAGCGAGTCGCCGAACACACGGGCGCATCAGCCCCAAATCAACACCATCCATTCACTCTCTCATTTACATATGAGTGTGCATGTTTTTAGTGGTAGTGGTACTCCACTCAGAAAGGCCCTGTTCCGACCGGGATTTGAACCCAGGACTTTCTTGCTGAGAAGCGAGAGTGCTATCCACTCAGCCACCGTGCCACCCACATGGGTAACAAATGAAGGAAAAAACAAAACAAAGAGGTACAGGGAGGATCTGTACAACATGTGTATTTTTGGCTCAAAAAGGAGTGGGAAGAAGAAGACTTATGTGATCCCACCTTTTGTTCCTACATTGGATTACTTAGATTAGTTCTTGTTGTCTTTCTACATAGACATAATACATAATATAAAGTATACACACACATATTAATATACAGTACAGACCAAAAGTTTGGACACAGTTTTTTTATTTTCATATTTATGAAAATTGTAGATTCACACTGAAGGCATCAAAACAATGAATAATTAACTAATGTGGAATTATGTACGTACAAAAAAAACTGAAAATATGTCTTATATTCTAGGTTCTTCATCACCTTTTGCTCTGATTATATATATATTCTCTTTTTTTATATAAAATGAGTGTGATTGGATGATTTAAAGTTTCTTTCAATTGACCTTGACCTTAATGTTAAACTTCTTGGAACGGGGATAACAATAGAAAACTTTCACAATGTGGGAAAGTGACTATTATTAATTCATACAAAAAAGATGGTCTGCTATGATGCCATGTGTCGGAACTTGTGTCAAATCATTCAAATGTTTTCTTTTTTTGTTGTTGCCAATTTTGGATGGAGACATAGAGTTGGGCACACTGGGCAGAAAGACTTCATCAACTGTAGAACTTGAAACAACTGATTGGTTCATGAAATCTATGTTTAAATTATGGATCAATTGAAGTTGAGTCTGAAGTAAAAAATAAACAATGTTTAGCTCAATTTTCAAGGCTTTGTATGACACTATACTTTCAGCGGTTAAAATAAGTTTTCTGAATAATTATAGGAGACAAAAGTGAATCCATTGTAGAATTTAAACACTAAAACATTACCAAACCGGAATAATATGATATATGCTGCTTTTTTTTTTGGGCTACATTTGAAATACATTGACCATGACTGCATTACAGTCATGCACCTATTGAACCTGGGGTAACCAACTTTCCGACCTCAAAAAATGTATGCACTATGAATTTTTGGTCTCTGTGACATCTTTAGATCCATAAGTTAAAACAGAGAGGGTTATCCTCACTCATCTTTAATGCCCAAATAATCAAATATTGGCTCAGATGCAGACAGAACTCTTTTGTTCACTATCTCTGTGGGGAAATTATTATTATTCATGAAACAGTGAAGTTAGATACCCCAGCTTTAATTTGTGTGCCTCTTTTCAGTAACAGGAGAAAAGGGCAGTTGGAGACACAGACAGACGTTACTATTCTGAGCCCAAAGCCGCTCTAATAATAACCAGAGAGTGACTGAGTGAGGAGCAGTGGGCAGTGGTCTCAGTGACAGCTGAAGAGTGCAACAGGTGAAGCCCACTCTCACATCAACAAACTGCAGTCACTGTGGCACCGAGTCTCTACCTCCTTAAGAACCAAAAGTCTCAGACATAGAAGAAAAGCAACTTTCTCTGGTGTAATTGAATAGTTTTGGTTTGGGGACATGAAAACTATTGGTTCAATCATTCTGTTTTTAAGACCAGAGTGGTTCCTTTTCCAACACTCTGTTGTTTTCCAAATAATGTTGTGGGGGGGGTTGTAAGTTTAGAACCTCCCCCTCTCTTTTCAGAACACTACTGAATTGTTTTTTTATTTTGTTTGTTCTGAAATAAGCATCTTGATTCATGATTGCTTGACTTTTGGCGATCATTAAGATATGTTTATGAAAAGTTACTTTAACATTATGTTATATCGGCCCATACAAATAACAATATTTTTTGGATGTTATAAGGCAGGGATGCCCAAACTAATGTCCAAACTAATGTCCAAACTTTTGCCCAGGGGCCAATTCTGGCCCTCTTCGATTTTATTTGGCCCTCTGCCTTCTTAAAGTAGTCCTTGAGATCATAAACACAGGTTCACAGTGTCATCCAGCCAACTATACCTCTCTGTAAAGCTCAGAACCGTTGTAGTTCAACCATTTTATACATATATAAAATGATTGAACTCCAACGGTGTCCAAAACCAGTGTTGTGCGTGAACGAGTTCATTGAACACGCTCATTTTTTCGTGAACGTTGAACTGAACCCAACACATTTTTTGATAAAGAACTTGAACGTGAATTAGTTCACATTATGTGTCATAAATGGCAGACAATTTGTTTTCCATTGAAAACTGAGTGAAATCTGTTTTCTCTTTTGAAACGCAACACATTTTGGCACAACACTGTCCAAAACAAATGGTGCTAATGTAGCTGGTGACATGGTTGACACTTCAGCTTTGTCATAGCTAATTATAAAGCTCAGTCAAAACAGTTTTACTATCCGGGTTGTCGGAGCCTGGACAAGCCTGGTTAACTACGGTGGCCCTCTGAGACATCTCTGTTCTGCTTTTTATTACATGGATTTAAACATTAGCCACTTCAAACCCTTTTCAATAGTATTTGCTCTTCTAGTTAAAAACGAGTCAACATGAGACACCTCAGTCAATACTTTAACCACAGAAACACACTTTTGGCTGTTTACTCTCCCCTTAACTCTCCCCAGACGCCTCCTCCCACAGCTGAGGACCCCAGACCCGCACATAGTCTGTCCAAGCGCAGCTCTCTGAAGTGTGGTATTTATAGTAGCCAACTCTGGAGGAATGAGGTAATCCAAACCAAATGGGCCAAAACGGGAGCAACCGAGACAGGAAGTGATGTCATGGCTCTCCTCTTCCTTCCCCCCTCAAAACACATTTACAACTCTAGAGGAAAGAGACGAGTAGAACAAAGAACAATACCAGTCAATTCAGAAGAAATGTATAATGTATACATTTGAAGATGGGTACCTAACTTTTTTGACTCAATCTTATAAAAATACACATTCTCTTTTGCATACTTCTCCAAAAGTGTCCCTGTGAGCCACTATTTGACACTTTGGGCTGAGAGCTAAGTGAGGGTGGTTCTCTCTTTCACACTTTTCTGTCTGAATACACTAAAGATGTGACAGAAGCCAAAAATACATGCATATAAATTTATCCTGTGTGTGATCAATAACTTATCTTAGTGACAGAACCAAACTGTTTTGAGAAATGTTTTCATTCTGAATTCTTATATTGAGTCAGCTCTCCTCTGCGCAGATTTGACTTATAACTCACTTGCGGTTTTCAATGCACTCTAGATGGGAAATATATTGCTGTAATCTGGTACATTTCAGGGAAAAAAGTTGAATATGAGATTACTGCTTTATCAACGTGGCATGTTGCTATGTCTGACCCTTTCAAATATACGATTTTTAATATTGACTTGTTCAAGAAGAAAATTGCATCGTTTCCAAACCAAGTTGAAAATCGAAATGTAAAGATTTTGAAAGCAGCCGCAATAATTAACTTACTCATATGTATTATTGACCAGACGTATACAGCATACTTCTCAAATTTGGTATACAGTTAAATACATATAGATAATATTTACTCAATTACACAAAACAAATCTAGATACAAAACTTCTTCTGACTGAAAAAACCCTCATTTTCATTCATACATCATTATAGAACGACCGGTTATTGCAGTGTAGCTACTACCACACAATAATTATCGGCAAGGTGAGTTTATTTGCACAATTCATACACAAGGAAACTTAAAGTGCTGAACCAAACAAGAGCATTCTAGTGACTACAACTACAAACACAAAACAGGAATACAAAAATACTTCCAGGCGTTAAAATGGTTGTGTATATACTGTACAAGTCAAGATTACTGACTCGCACCTGGTAATTCATCCATATCACAATCACAATTAATATTTTCTCACTGCATATTCTTTAGTGCAACAATGAATGAAGTTTGAATAACATCAAGCAACATTTTTTGTGGGACTTAAAAACCCACACAGTTGCTAAATTCCAAACCTCCCACTTCCAACTTCAAAGCAAGCTCTTCCATATTTGCCTCTACATATTTTAACTTTCTACGCTCCACCTTGACAGAGCATTCGTCCTCCACATCTGCACGACTTTAGCAGCTGCTGAGGCTGGTCCCACGCCCCGCCCCCTCCTCTCAGTTTCCAAACATGGCCGATCTCATAAACTTACCATTTTGGCTCTTCTCTTCTTGCTCCTTCCGCAAATATCCTTTAGTTCCTCTTTGCTTGAGGTGAGCTTAGGTAAGTTATTTCTTGAAGATTTAACTCTTGATTTTGAGTGTGGTCCTTCAGGTCCCCCTCTGACTGTCGACTCTATCGGGCTGCAAGCTGTGGAACTGTCAACTTTTCCAACAACACGCAGACTCCTAGCTCCGCCTACCCTGCTTCTAGACCCCGCCCCATTTGGTCTCTCTCTTGTGACCCTCGACTTCCTCCTACTTTTAGCACAATGCACAAGTCAGCTGCAGTGAAGGAGCTATTACCAGTGTATGAGCGGTACTCTATGACAGACAATGTTCTGTCAAGTCCTTGAACAAAGTGGTCCATATATGAAACTTGAAAGAACGTTGTGTTAAGTGCTTCAAGACGGCAGTAATTTGAAGCATTTATTATAAACGTGCAAAGACAAATTATTTAACAGATTATACATAGATCCACTGTTAAGAGCTGTTTTGATCGCTATTAAACCATTCACTGTTGAAAATCTGAATTTCTTTGCAATCGCTTAAATGTAGTATTGATAATTGGGAAGCCACCTTTAAGCTTTTTGCCATGGCCTTCTACTTTTGAGCTTTGTTTCTTGAAGTTATTTGTACCTGTAAAGATACATTGTAAAACTGCTCAAATGAACTACTGCTATTACTACATGTTAGAGTATATCAATCAATCAATCAATCAATCTTTATTTATAGGGCGCTTTTCCTGCACAGGGCAACACAAAGCGCCTCACAGTCCACACCACACAATGCACAAATCATCACCATTAAAATACAATTAAAAACACATATGTAATTAAAAAGCATTAAAATCACATAAGTAATTTAAAAACATAAAAATCACACAAGTAATTAAAAACAATAAAATAGTTAAAAACACAAAAAGTTACAACAATAAATAACAAGGTGTGTTAAAAAGATAAAATTCTCTAGTTGTATGCACGGGAAAAAAGAAAAGTCTTTAACATGGATTTGAACATTGACAGAGAGGCAGCCAGTCTCACATCCTCAGGAAGACCGTTCCAGACTCCAGCTGCATAAATCTGAAAAGCAGCCTCACCCTGTCTAGTCCTGACTCTGGGCACTAACAGGAGTCCCGTCCCTGCGCTCCTCAGAGTCCGGGCTGGTTCATATGGGACTAGCATATCATGGATGTACTTTGGTGCAAGGCCATGGAGAGACTTGTACACCAGGAGAGCTGCTTTAAAGTCTATTCTCTGGGCCACGGGAAGCCAGTGCAGAGACCTGAGGACCGGACTAATGTGGTCGTACTTCCTGGTTCTAGTCAGGACTCGGGCTGCAGCATTTTGAATATACTGCAACTGTCTTACTGCATGTTTGGAGATACCTGTGAGCAGGCCATTGCAGTAATCCAGCCTACTGGAAACAAAAGAATGGATAAGAATCTCCAAGTCTGCCCTGGACACAATATTTTTAATTTTGGCAATATTTTTCAGATGATAAAAAGCTGCTGATGTTAGCGATCCAATGTGGCTATTGAAGTTTAAGTCAGAGTCCATTATTACTCCCAGATTTCTGACCTTATTTAAGGGCCTTAGGGAGAGAGACTGAAGGTGACAAATGACGGTCTCTCTTTGTTTCTCGGGACCAAAGACAATCATTTCGGTTTTGTCCGCATTTAGCTGGAGAAAATTGCATTGCATCCACTCACTGATCCGCTGGATACAGCGAAGGAGTGAGTCCACCGGCCCATGCTCTCCTGCAGTCAGTGAGACATAGATCTGAGTGTCATCAGCGTAATTGTGGTAGGACACTTTCATACTTTGAATTAACTGACCTAATGGCAGCATGTAAATATTGAACAGGAGAGGTCCCAGAATCGACCCCTGTGGCACTCCGCAGGTCAGGGCCATATTATCTGAGACATAGTTTCCAATCTCCACACAATACTTCCTTTCTTCTAGATAGGACCTAAACCAGCTTAGGGCGGTACCAGCAACACCAACCCAGTCCTCCAGTCTCTGCATGAGAATCTCATGGTCAACGGTGTCGAAAGCGGCACTCAGATCTAACATGACTAAAACAGAGACTTTTCCTGCATCAGTGTTAAGCCGAATATCATTTGTTACCTTGACTAGAGCGGTCTCAGTACTGTGGTGTGGTCTAAAGCCAGACTGAAACATGTCAAATGAGTCATTAGATATTAAAAATTCAGTAAGTTGTTGGTAGGCAACTTTTTCAAGAATTTTTCCCATGAAAGGCAGATTTGAGATGGTTGAGTATTCACCTGCATTAAATCTGTCATGCCAACCGTCATGTGAAAAAATTAAAAAGTATGTTTAACAAATGGCTCTTTGAACACACATAATAAAACATCATAATAAAACGACGAGTGATATAATTGAAGATAATGCAATGGAATAAAAGAACAATGGTATGTGCACTTATGTCTATGTTGCAATTCTAAAACCAAATTACTAACTTGTAAAAATGACGTCAAAGACTTCTTTCAATGTTCACTCATACTATTGCACTGTCAACATTGTGAAAATGTCAAATGAGGGTATTGATACTTTTGGAGAAATGTTACATGTTAAAACCAGACTTGACAGTTTTCGTTAAAACACCATTATCAAATCGGGTTGATCAATTTATCAGCTTGTAATATTATCCTTTTAGGCCTTTCTTTTTACATATTTTGATTGAACTGTCTTCAAACATGTCCTTTTCGGTTTAAAAAAATAGTTTTCATAATCTGCTAGATTATTGTAACATCTATACAATGGGCTGCTAGTTTGTGATTATGTGATCATGCAAACAATTTTCAAACAGTCAGTAAATTTTTATTGTTTATTGACATTGAATTTTAAACTCCCTCAGTCATTTTACTGTAATGTAAATGCATTTCTTAGTTAAATAAAGCAAAAATATGATAATAATAATGATCATAATAATATTAATAATGATAATAATAATAATAATAATAATAATAATAATAATAATAATAATAATAATAATGATAATAAATAGTAATAATGATAATAATAAATAGTAATAATGATAATAGTAATAAAAAGGTAATTATTGTGATAGCTCTAAAGCCCCCACCGCTGCACCTTCTCCACCGACTCCCACTGATGACTGCTGTCGTTGTGTCCTTGGGCAAGACACTTAACCCCACTTTGCCCAAAGCCCCCACTGAAAGATCAAGGCTAAGCTCACACTCAGAGAGCGGCCGTCCTCCTGTGGACTCACCACCTGCAGAGGGTCAGTGAGGGGCTGGTGCTGTGAGACTTGGGTGGCATCTCTGACTGTCACCCCCCTGACCCAGAAATGGATTAAAGGGTAGAAAATGGATGGATGGATGGATGTATAGATATGCATTTTCGACAATATATGGTATGCCTCTGAAATGATTTGCTCTTTTTACAAGAAAATGTTGACATTCTCTCACGCTACATCACTCACTCACAGCTGTCCTTCAGTACTGTGCTGTGGGTTCAGAGGATTGTGGGCGTGGCCTTGTGGTCCCAGGGGTGGGGCCTGATGGTTTTACAGCAGCAGTGGGAGTGTTTTTTCCATCTGTGGTGATGTGTCAGGCAGCGGCTGTGGGCATTTATAAAGGAGCCAGAAAACAAGTGGAAAATATGAGGGAAAATGTCAGTGCTGTTACAGGGTGGAGCCGAGTTTTACAATGAGGACGTATGTGGGATGAACAAGAGAAACAGTGTCTTTTCCAACTATTACTCAGTCAGGCTTTAATTGGACTATATGTAAATGTATGAAATGGTGTATAAGTATAGACACTGTAGATCTATCAACCATCATTAAACCAGACTTGGGTGGTGTCAAGGTGTCAGATGGTGTCCCGACTTCCTTCTCTCTGGTCTCGACGCAAAATTCCTCTCCCGCCTCAGACTGGTTCAGAACGCAACAGCCATACCTCTCACGGGTTTTAACAGAAGGAAGCACATCACCCCTGTTTTAGCGTCCCTCCACTGACTCCCTGTGTCTTTTAGAATTGACTTCAAGATTTTACTGATTACTTTTAAAACTTGTCTGGCTCCAAGCTACATTTCTAAACTTTTTCATCATCTCTGGAACGCTGAGGATCTTTGTCTTTTTTGTTGTCTCTCTGCTTTATTCTGCTGTATTTCTTTTTTGATCTGACTGTTTTATTGACAGCACAGCGCTTTGTAAACAGTTTTTTTTTTAAAGTGCCAAATACATTTTTTTATGGCACAAATAATCTGTGTCCGTGACCATGTGGAATTTTAGTTTTGTCCACAGCAAGTTACTTTGCAAAACATGGGTGCAAACAAGATCAACCTTAGTCTATTATAACCCGGTGAAATTGGAGTTATACCGTGTCCACTGCAAGTACTGTTGCAAAACTACAAGATCTGGGTTTAAAGAAGAAATAAAACATTTGGCATGCCACCACAGACGTCTGGTCTCGCCCACTATCGAGCTGCTACAAAGAAACCAGCCTCATGCAGGCACAATACTCACGTATAAATCAATTTTGTAAGAAAGCCCTTTCAAAACCGACCCTTAAACACACCTTGATGGTTCTCTTGATGGTTCACCGAGATCTGCCTGTCTGTGCTATTTCAATACCATCAATCTAATCCTGATCAACTGAAACGTTGTATGCAACTTTGTATGAATAGTTGGACTGTCATCTTTAAGGGAATATTTCTAAACAACAATATACCCCCCACTGCATCGCTGGTTTGGTGATAAAGTCCTATTGAATAATTCACACCCAATGCTGAACAAATGCAGCAAAGTACAAACATCATTAGACAAAATAATCGCCACACCATTTCTTGTTTCATTTAAATACATTGGTTAATTTCCTGCCCACTTCCTGTTAATTTCTGAGGCTCATGTCAATACTCTGTAGAAAATCTCGGCTCCACTTGACTGAGGCGCTTTGGAAGGCTGCAAGCATGCACGTGGGTGAGCGTGCACGTGGGTGAGCGTGCACGTG